ACAGCCCTGTCCACATCCTGCTGTGGGGGGGGGGGGGAGCGCCCTGGTCACGCTCCTGCTGGTTGGGACGCCCTGTCACCTCTGCTGGTGTGGGGATGCCCTGTCACCTCCTGCTGGCGTGGGACGGCCCTGGGGGGCACCCCTGCTGGTGGGACGGCCCTGTCACCGTCCTGCTGGCGTGGGACAGCCCTGTCACCTCCTGGGGTGGCGGGGACGGCCCTGTCACCTCCCGTGGTGGCTGGGACGGCCCGTCACCTCCTCTGGCGTGGGGACGCCCTGTCACCTCCGCCTGGCGTGGGACGCCTGTCACTCCTGCTGGCCGTGGAGATGGCACTGTCACCTCCTTGCTGGTGGTGGTGATGGCGCCTGGTCACCTCCTGCTTGGTGTGACTCCCTGTCACCTCCTGCTGCATGGGACTCCCGTCACCGCCTGCTGGCGTGAGATGCCCTGGCCACCCCTGCGTGTGGGATGCCCTGTCAGCCCCTCGCTTTGGAGATGGCCCCTGATCACACTCCTGCTGGAGTGGGGGGGGGGATGGCCCTGCTCACCTCCCTGCTGTGTGGGGGGATGCCCTGCCACCTCCTGCGGTGGGGGACAAGAGGCGAGGACCACGGGCTGAGGAGATGGAACGGCTCCTTCCTTGATTCTGCCACCACGCGGGGGGGTCGGGGGGCTACCGCCCTGCCTGAAACCGCCCCGGCCCACCCCCCGCAAGCCCCTGCGAGTTTCACGAGACCGTCTGTCCAGAACCGGCCCCCGGCCTCAGGGACCCGCGCTGTGGCCTGGAACATCACGACCCCGCGCCCCTGCGCCGCGGTGCTCCGCGTTCCTCTCCGCAGCGGCCTCGCCCACCCCGCGCACGTGCTCGAACTTGGGGGCCGCTGGGCGCTGGGAAGCGGGCCCTGTCCCGCAGGGAGCGGGGGGCTGGCCGTCCGCAGCCCCAGGGACGGCCCTGTCACCTCCTGCTGGCGTGGGGACGGCCCTGTCACCTCCTGCTGGCGTGGGGACGGCCCTGTCACCTCCTGCTGGCGTGGGGACAGCCCTGTCACCTCCTGCTGGCGTGGAGATGGCCCTGTCACCTCCTGCTGGCGTGGGGACGGCCCTGTCACCTCCTGCTGGTGTGGGGATGGCCCTGTCACCTCCTGCTGGTGTGGGGGCGGCCCTGTCACCTCCTGCTGGCGTGGAGATGGCCCTGTCACCTCCTGCTGGTGTGGGGACAAGAGGCGGAGGACGACGGGGCTGAGTGAAAGGGGAACGGCTCCTTCCTTGATTCTGCCACCACGAGGGGTCGGCTTCCGCCCTGCCTGAAACCAGCCCCGCGCCCACCCCCGCAAGCCCCGCGAGTTTCCGGAGACCGTGTGTCCAGACCGCCGGCCTCGGGCTGCGCTGTGGCCTGGGACACACGGACCCCGATGCCCCTGCGTCCGGCGTGCTCCGCGCTTCTCCTCTCCGGCAGCGGCCTCGCCCACCCCGCGGCACGTGCTCCGAACTTGGGGGCGCTGGGCGCTGGGCAAGCGGGGCCCTGTGGCCCGGAGAAGCGGGCTAGCGTCCGCAGCCCCAGAGGCGCTCCCCTTGACCCCCGACGCCCACGGGGGACGGAGAGAACCCCCCTAGGCTTCCCGCTGCCCGGCCTCTCCTCCTGCCTCTCCAGGTCTCACCTCGGGTCCGCCGCCGCCTCCCCGTGACCGCGGCTGCCCTGCCCTCCACTGTTGGGGGGGGG